TAAAAAAAAATTTTAACAACCCATATTTTGAAATACCAGAAAATGAATTATATAATTTTACATTGCACGAACTAGAAAAATTATTAAACCTAAATTCATCAACTTTAGCTCATTTTAATCTACCCTTACCGACTGGTTCACTAATAAATGATTTAAACAATAAACTTTTAAGAGATGAACTTAATTATGATATAAATAAATTAAAAATAGAAAATTCTATGTTAGAAAATAATTTAAACAATGAACAGCGATTTATTTACCATAAGATTTTAGAATATGTTGTTGACAAACAAAACCACTTATTTTTTATTTATGGCCATGGAGGGACTGAGAAAACATATTTGTGGAATACAATTATAACAAAAATCAGATCTAATAATGAAATAATCCTAGCAGGAATAGCATCACTATTATTGCCTAAAGGAAGAACTGCACATTCTAGATTTCGAATACCATTATCGATAGATAAATTTTCAACGTGTCATATAAAAAAAGGAACCCAATTAGCACATTTAATTGAGAGAACATCATTAATTTTATGGGATAAAGCACCTATGACTAATAAATATTGCTTTGAGGCACTAGATAAAACACTTCAGGATTTACGTAACAATTTTGACCAACCATTTGACGGAATAACAGTTATTCTAGGGGGTGATTTTCGACAAATCCTACATGTTTTACCTACCGGAACAAAAGAACATATAATAGATGCATGCATAAATAATTCATATTTATGGCCACATTTTAAAGTTTTAACATTAACAGAAATTATGCGATTAAAACATTTTAATACAACATCGGAAGAAAAAAAAGAAATTGAAAATTTTTCAAAATGGACATTGGATATTGGAAATGGTACTGCTGAAGGAATAAAAGATTTAGAAAATGAAGATATTACATGGATAAAAATACCTAAGAAATACTGTGTTGATTGCGACATAGATCCAATTGAGAAAATAACAACATTAATATACGATAACTTTAACAACAATTTTAATAACATTGAATATCTAAAACAACGCGCAATTGTGACGCCGAAAAACAAAACCACCGACGATATAAATAAACATATATTGTCCTTGGTACCTAATGAGCTAAAAACTTATTATAGTTATGACACAATACTACCTTCATCAGAAAACATAGAAGAACTAAATCTCTTATACCCTCAAGAATTTTTACACAACTTAAACTTCAACGGTTTACCACCACATGAACTAAATCTTAAACTAGGAACTCCAATAATGCTTCTGAGAAATCTAAATCAATCTGCTGGACTATGCAATGGAACTAGACTTATCGTAACACAGTTAACAAATAAAATAATAAAAAGACAGATCATTACTTCAAATAATATTTCTGATAAAGTTTATATTCCAAGAATAGAAATGACTGTACATGAATCTAAATGGCCATTTACTTTGAAAAGACGCCAATTCCCTATCAAAATATGTTATGCAATGACAATAAATAAAAGCCAGGGACAATCTTTGAATAAAGTTGGACTATTTTTAGAAAATCAAATATTTAGCCATGGTCAATTATATGTTACTTTATCTAGAGTGACAAATCCAAAAGGCTTATATATATTACTCAATGATTCAAACAACAACTATCCTAATCATATAAAAAATATTGTCTACAAAGAAATCTTACACAACATCACATAAATAAATATATACAAAATATATACCACCTTATATTCTTCACAACATTAAAATTTTTTAATATAACATTTTTAACAATAAATTCAAATAGAATATTTGTCATTATAATAACATCTTATTTACTTTTTTCAGGACTAAGAAAATATAACAACACCTATTCGTGCACTAAAACCAAGTGAAGTCTATGAAACAATACAAGCATGAGTATGTAGAATATGGACAAACAACGATTTTGTCTCAGGACACCTGATCAGCCTTGACTGCATCCAGGTTGATGAAGAGGTACTAAAAATTTAAAATGTTATATTACATATTATTTTATATAATATTTATTAATATTGAATAAATTTTTACTCTTATTATTTATTTACAGCATGAGGCAATACAGGGAACAATTCGAGCACGAGATTCGGACTATATTTCCCAAAAAATTGTGCAAGGCAATATATACAATATTAGTAACTTTTATGTTACTGAAAATAAACCAACATACAAAGTTGTTCCACATAGTGCTATGATTCAATTTGCATGAGCAACATCTTTTACTCCAATTGTGGAAGACGCACCACACATCCCATTTCACAAATTCTACTTCATAGAATTCGACCAGTTGTATCAAAGAATAAACAATACTAAGATATTAACAGGTACTATCCTACTTAACTTATTTTATTATTACTATAAAATTTTTTTCAATATTTATATATAATGCTAGATATTATTAGAGTATTAACAAGTGTCCAGGCACTCGAGCATACACATGTTAGCACTAGACCAACAACACGGCGATCCATAACAATACAAAACATCATGTATAATAATTTCATACTCATTTCCCTCAAATTTACTATTCATAACAACTATTTAACATGAATACAATTATTCCTCGCTTTTATCGTTCACTTTTATTACTCATTCTTATGAACCACTTTTTGCCTGCAGAAATGAACATCTGCAGCTAAGCCTATGGGGACATAAAGCCAATCAGTTTGATGAAAATGTCCTTAAAGCATTAAAGGCACCAATTGTGGCCGTTTTCTCATCAATGCTGACAAAGCAGTATCTAGGTATTTTCGACATTATTTTATCTAAACTTCTTTATATACACATATACAATAAAATAACATACATTTATTATCTACTCTACTATATTTTAAGGTAACTCATATGTTTCGAGTACATCAGCAACGATCTTCTATATTGATCCGGATATCCCAGAAACAACGACATTAAAGACAAGGTAAACATACATGTATAGAAAAAATATGCTAATAAATTTATCATATTAAATAATAATACATTTTATTTATACCTTCTTGACCTTATTCATATTTTTATACGTACAGATTTTCCCACCAAAATCAACAAATTGAGTTCCTACCACCTCCAAAAACACCTATCCAAACAGTTGAAGAGCAAATATCGACAAATAGAAGAACAATAGACGAGCTCAAAACATTGGATGCACAAAATTATCTGGTTAGTACTATTAACTTTCCTATCATTTTTTTACTATACTTAGTAAAGAATTTTAAACAAAATTATTATCTCTTTTATACAGGGTGAAAAATTCATGTAAGAGCAACAATAGTAAAGTTCTCGACGTCTCAAGGATGGTTCTACAATTCTTGCCCCAGATGTTACCGACAATTAAAACAGTTGGTTGGTGGTGCGACAGTCATGGCCATATAAAGTCAACACCCTCTCCATGGTAAATAGATTTATTACCATACCCTTTTCATTTATTACATATATTCATTTGATTTAATAAAAAAATAAAAGACATTACAAAAAATATACATATATATGTATATATATTACAGGTACAGATTAACAATTCAAATTGAAGATCATACTGGAGACATAGAGGTCATCGCTTTTGGCAGAACCGCTCAGGCATTAATAAAAAAAACCCTGTTCTGATCCATTTATAATACCACCAGTTATCGATCAGATCCGAGGACAATCCAAAATCTTCCAGATATTTTTCCAACAACGAGGCACCCAAATGAGTACATTAATTTCCAAAATATTTGAAGACATCCATGTTCCATCATCGCCACCAAAACTATTAACTGTAGGAACAGAAGAACCACATAGGTAAATATTGTCTTTAAAATTTTCCAGCAACTATACATATATAATATTTATATTATATTAATAACACCTTTAAAAATTCCCGCATCTTTCAGCCCACCGGCTATACCATCTTCCCAGCTATCAACACCAGCCACATTTGATCCACACACTCCAACACCAAAAAAGCCTAGCACAAGGTAAATCACATTCAACACAACAAAGATTATCAATTTATTCAAAAACATATCTACAGATTATTCGATTCTTTCAGGCCTGAATCAAGAACAACAAGACAATCTACAAAACGCCCAAAAGAATAAGGTACTTTAAATATTTTTATAATACTTATTTCATACTATATATTTTAACTACCTTTACTTCTTTTAACATTTATATTTACAACTGCTTCCCTCATTGTTATGCTTGCAGCTAAAAAAAAGAGAATTGCTGAAGGACTACAACTTTCCTTTTTTTCCCCTGTACATTCTGTATATATATAAATATTCTAAATAATAACGCTATTATGTATGGATAAATATCTGTGTACAAATTTTAATAATATAATACTGTTTTCCGCAGCAACGCGCGGATCTCACGCTCGTTAAATACTAATGCACAGAAGAAAAATAAAAATGAGAAAATTAAGAAATTAATTAATGCAATATGCTTATATATAATATTTGATTTCCATTTAGAAAAAAAAAAAATTTCAAAACAAGGACAAATTTTTCCGTCTCTTCAGGTAAATTCAAAAGGCTTGTTAATCCTACAATATTGTGAAAATTTTGTTAGTTTTCAACTCCCAAGCTCCCAGCTCCATTGTAGTGTTGTGTATTTTTTTTTACTTTCAATAATAAGAAGTTACACAAACTCTGTCTTAGGACTAATATTGTCTAAAGATATAAGGCATTCCAAATACATTAAAGGATCTCTAATGCAATATTATAGTTGATGTGTTAATGATAAATTTAACATTTGAGTGTAATAAATATTATCTAATACAATGTCATTTGTTGTGTTAAATTTACTATGAGGCTTGATATTTTCACCAATACTGATTTTTTCATATGCGTTTGCAATATGAGACGCTTCAAGGGAAGAGGGGTCCCGTGACGGGGCTTGGCTCACAAGAAGGAAGTTTGCGACAGCGTGACCACACGACAGGGCACGCGACGCTTAATACAACTATGGTAATGCTTGGCAGAAGCGCAAATATCTAGTATAGAACATCAATAAACGAATTGAATACAACTATGTTATTTCAGCCGCAGTGAGATTCGTCTTAAGAAACTTGAAAGCAATAAATTAAAGCTTTCTTTTTCTACAGTTGATATAAAACTTAGTGGACGGTTTTTCCTTTGTTTGCTCTTGTCTCTATATATACGAGTATATTGCATGGATTTACGTATTTGACAGGTTAACCATTTGTGGTTTGGATACAAATACATACAAACCTCTATACTCTTAAGAATTTAGATTATACACCAACAGGCTAACTAGCAACAATGGCTTTGAGAAAATCACAGGGAAGATTCGTTCGTTTCACCATCCCAATTCTATCACGAGACTTTTCGGACTGCCAATGAAAATTTTGCGGCAACTCTGTGGATGGCATTTGCTCCAACCTCATCTTTCTCTTGCCAAAGAGGTTCTGATTTCCATTTCGAAGTGATGCGTCACTTAAAATAACTGGAAGTACAAACAAGTTGATCCATCACTGTATGATTTGATACCTGCTGGTTTAACCAAGGCTCTACACAATGGGCAAGTTCTTTCCCTCTCAAACCTGAAAAATGCCACAGCAAATTATTAGTGAGGAAGTGACAATAAAAAAAGAAAAAAGAATCTTGAATGCAAACTGGTATATTTCTCTTTCAACGAGGAACAACCACAAAAAAATGAATCACTCGCTGAATGCCAACACTTGCGCTGTGAGAACTGTTAAACTTCACCGGGTCTTCAAGCTTAGTGTAAACTATTCAGTAAAAAGAAGCCGCTGCTAAACCATCCAACATCCTATGATTGGAACTGAGGTTTTAGTGAAACTCATTCTCCAAAATTAGGTAACATTGGCGACTACAGAATGATGTAAAGAAATGTAGCGGTACAACAAAAAGCAAAATCTACAGAGGTTCATGGGGAAGGAAATTACCATTCTGACACACAATCCTCGCAGAATATGTGTTTACAACTGAGGAGTATAGGAGCGTGCATCTTCTCCTGGCAAATCGCGCAGAGATCTCCCGCCGCGTTTACCTATATTAGTTAAGGTGAAAACTTTAGTATACACAAAACTTCATAGCAAGAAAAAAGGATAAACACCAATATGCTCACATACGAAGATTTGTTCATGGAACACCACTAGATTTGGAAAATGTGTTTAAAAAGTGCCAAATTACATCCCTAATGCTGGCTGGAAACGTAGAAATCAACATCGATCATATGAACATCAAAATAGCATTGTCAAACCCAAGGCAAGCTGAAAATAGGCTTGTTATAATGTCTAGTTCAGTTGGTGCCTAAGACTGTGAAAATAGTTAGTTTTGCAATTAAATTTGAAATGCTGCATAATGATTAATGATGCTTTGACCACTGATGGAAGTGTTTACCAGCCTATAAGGTGGTGTGCTGCGGGTAAACTATGTTTTACTCCATCGAATAAAATATTCATGAGTTGAGAGAGAGAGAGAGAGCAACAATAAGAAAATAAATCTGAAGAAACACTGACCTGTTCAGATGTGGCATAAGACCCGTAGTGCACTTCCTTACGAGATAGAGCTCTCAATGCAACAAAAAAGCATTGAACCTAAAATTTCAATACATTTTGCCAAGAGTTACAACAGTTTTAAGCTGAAATTTCAAGTTATTGACACGAAGTTAAACAAAAGACTACCTTCTCTACAACTGAAGTAAGCTTGAATGTTAAATACAACCCTGTGGTCAAGGAAGAAAAAAAGCTTCCATATTCCTTGTTTAGAAAAAACCGGTACCAGACTGGGGTAGGCAACAAGGCACGGTACAGCAACAAAAGGTACTCAACAAGAGTAAGCATTTGACCCTAAAAGAAATGGGCACCGTAAAGTGTTAAATTTAAGGTATGAATAGAAGAGGTATATAAATGAAAGATACAAGACTTCAAAATTCATAGTACAAATAACCTGCTTAAGGTAATCACGGCCTCTGATATCCTTGTAACACACCAAAAGCATGCATTTAACAGCCATTGCAGCCTGGCGCACCATAATATCTGCCAAAAGAAACTGTTACAAGGTATACGCTTGAACATATCAAGACATCATGAATAAGAATATATGCGCCGTAAAGAAAGATCACTTGTTTTCCCTTCAATTTGCATAAGAATAATGCATCAATAGAGCATGTATAAAATTTATCCGCTCTAAAGAGAGAAGCTCACTCGTTTTCCTTTTTCTTTTCATTTCTTTCTTCTTTTTTTTTTTTTTTTTTTTTTTTTTTTTTTTTTTTTTTTTCAATACCTTTTTGGATGCCATGGGCTTTAAGCTCCAAGAGTACACACTTTGCAAAGCAACAAGAAGCATTAGACTAGTAACCGGAATAAAAACGACTTGTACCAACATCATCTTACAATAAAAAACGTAACAGTATTTACACAGAAAATCTGCATCGAACTCCTAGCATAGTCCAACTACAAATCCTTTATTGTAAGTAAATTAAATACTCGAGAATAATGGAAATGAACACTGAAAAAAAAAGGGTCCTATGACAAGCTATTTAAAAGTTTCAAATTGAAAATCTCTATTGCAAAAGAAAACCCAAAACACTACTAATTGCCCCAGCGAACAACGATGGTAATAAACATAACCATTTTCTCAGAATTTCCCATTAAGAAAATTTCCTTTCAATATATTAATTGTCAAGAATAGGCATATATTTAAAAGACGCACACATCTAATGTCAAGTTCATAGCATTGAAACCAACTTGGAGTGTTTAGTATTTTACCATTTATCATGATGATGAATATGGCATGCCAGAAAGGAGGTACCGCTTTAGGAGGAATTAGAATCAGTGGATATAGAAGGTCCTCTTTTCTATACCACCAATAGAAGCAGATCACATGAAGTATGAAAACTGAACTGATTCCCACCAGAACAGGAATTTTTCTCTCCCCCTGGAGAAAATTCAGGTGCACAAACCTTAACTTAATCCAAAACACCCATCAAAGCTAAAACCAAAATGCAAATTAAAAGCACCTTCAAAGCCGTCTGTTTTCGCACGATATCGTTCGATTTGAACATCACGGCAGCGATCCAAATTGCAACTGAGAAACCTGAAAGACAAAGCAATTCATTATTCACATTACAATAATCTATTTTATCGTCCGAGAAGAGAGAGAGAGAAATCAAATAGGAAGAAGAAGAAGAAGAAGATAGAAAGAAAGAAAACCTTGGTAATGTTGTCGAATGAAGACGAGAAGAAGAAGCAAAGTGAAAGGCAGAATCTGCTCAAACCACCGAGCGAAATTCTGAATATCATATCTCTGGTACGAAGATTCCCTGCCATTGCTCGCACCTCCATTTCCAGACTCGACGCTTCCCTCGCCGCCGTCACTCGCCGAACTCGGTCCCGCATTGCCATTGCCGTTTCGTTGGACGACACTGGCTCCGTCTACGACATTTCCATGCTCGCTCTGATGCTCCGTCGCGCCGATGATCCTAATCGAAACCTCCTCTTCTTCCTCTTCATCCGCCGTCGCGACGGCGTCGTCGTCGTCCTCTTCGCCGGCGTAGTTTTCTCCTTCACGCACGTCCTGAAGAGAGCGGCGCGTGGACAGACGCGCCGCGATCCGATCGCCTGCGAACGACCGCGTATTGCCTCCTCCGAAAATACCGGTGTGCTCCAACAGCGCCGTCAGGGGAGCGCGTATGAAGCTCGGCTCGGGAATTTGGATTCCGAATCTTCTAGAAGGAGAACTCCCAATCCTTCCGTACATTCCATCTTGATTGCTCACACCCGCCGTCGACTCCATTTTCCTTTTTTTCCTTATTCTTTTCGCCCCCCAATTTTCTCGCTTTCCAAACGCAACCGATTCCCGATCTCAGAAATTTTTTTTTTTAAAAGGAAAATATCACCAAAATAATGCCCCTGATTCCGCGTGCAATAATTGCTTTCCTCTTCCACTTCTCAACCCAACATGGAAAAAAAAAAAAAAAAAAAAAAAAAAAGAAAAAAAAAAAAAAGAAAAAAAAAAAAAAAGGAAAAAAAAAAAAAAAAAAAAAAAAAAAAGGAAGTAAACAAAGAGAGAAATAAAGCCAAAAAGAAAAGAAGAAACACGAAGGGAGATATCTTTACAGAGCTGCTTTACTTACGCTTCTCTCTCTCTCTCTCTTTGGCTTTTGCTTTTTGTTTACAAAATTGCTACAAGTATTCGTTTAAAAGAAAGGAAAGGCCTTTTCTTTTTGTTGTCTTCCTGGTTAAGAGCAATATATTAAAACAAGCTTTGTGATTTTTTTTCGTAAATGGTGATTTATTTTTGGTTGGACAGCCAAAGCAGAGCTGAAATGAGTGAAAACAGAAAAGCTAATAAGATATAGAAAGAAAGAAAGCTCAGTGGGGTTGGGTCTCTATCTCTATCTATATAGGCTACTATTAAGGGTGACAATTTGTGTCACGTGTTATGTTCGTGTCGTATTTTAATTATTTTTTTTTAAATTTACAGTCAATCCAAATACAACTCGTGACACGAAATTTTTTAAAAATCGCAACACGAACACGACACGACCACTTTACGAGTTGACACGACACGACCAAAAAATGACCCGTGACACGAAATTAACCCGTGAACCCAAAATTGTCACGAAAATTGTATACTTTTATTTAGTTTTTTACATATTAGAAATAACTTAAAATTCATAACATACTAAATTACAATAACATCCATTGAAATTAAACAAATAATAGTATAAGATTTTGAGTATAACTATCAAGTTATCATAAGTTCATAATAAAATTTAAAATATGAAATGAAAAATATACGTATTTTTTAGTTTTTTACGAGTTTCGTGTCGTGTTCATGTTAGGCGGATCTAACCCGAAATTAACCTATATTTTTCGTGTCAATTTCAGGTCGGACTCAAACTTTTTTTTTCAACTCTAACCCATAAAATTCGTATCATTTTCAAATCGTGTTATCATATCGTGACCCATATTATCCACTCTAACTACTACCATTACTACTACTACACTACTTATTACACTAATAAAGTCCGTCCTTCTCCTCCGTTCGTTCGCTGAGTGTTTCGGCTAAATGCCTAAAACGCGGACTCTACTCTCGTCTCCACACAAACAGTAATCGGTGGATTATCCAACATTTTTGGGTGATGTGGGTCCCACTGCGTATTGTATTATTGGTGTCGGAATGCCCCTTTTGTCTTTGTTACAATGAATCCGGGGGATTTGTTGGTCGTTTCTTAGGCCTCGTTCGTTTCGCTGATTCGAGTTTAGAATTCGAGTTTTACTACAGTAAAAAGCTCTCACAAATAATCACATCTAACTTTTTTGCTACAGTAAAAAGCTCTCACATACAATCACATCTTAACTCAAATTCTAAACTCGAATCATCGAAACGAACGAGGCCTTAATTTTTAATTTAATAAAGTCTTTGGTGTTGTAATTGCTGCCCTTAAAAATTAAATAAAATAATAAAGAAAAATAAATGGTAGTGTAAGTAGAGAGAGGAGGTGGACTCGTGGGGCCTCCGAAATCCAATGCGAAACATCATTGTGGGGGTTGGAATTACGTACCGCGCTCTTCTTATTTGTCTACTAGGCGAGGAGGTAGGAGGGAAATTATCACCTTATTCATTTCATTTATTTAAATTAAAAATTAAAGTTAAAAAATAAATTCATATAAAAAAAATATAGTAAAAAATTTGAATTTAAATTATTGAAATAAAAATTTGAGTTGTTATTCAAAATAGCACGAAGGGGACCATTTTGTGGCATAAAATTTCACTAAAAAAAATTTTATTTCATACGAAACCATAATGCTACTCATTTTATATGCATTCCCACATCTTCTTTGTTTTATTAGAATTATTATAGACTTAAGATTCCGTTCATTTCACCGATTCGAGTTTAGAATTCAAGTTTTGTTACAGTAAAAAGCTCTCATAATCAGTCACATAATATTTTTTCTACAGTAAAAACTTCTAACATAAAGTCACATCTCAACTCGAATCAGCGAACAAGCCCTTAAACTCCTTCGTCCCAGTTAAAAAATAAATAAAAGAGAATAAAATTTCATTTTCAAGCATCACATAATAACAAAATTAAATAATGTACTTATTATTATAAAATTTCACATACACACAACCAGTTACCACTTATAGGTATACTTTTGTATCCTACTGCACACATTTTTCATAAATCAATAATAGTTTTACAAGATTCTTGGTGGGGAAAGATATTTTCTCCATTTTTTTTAAATGAGATTTTCTCCAAAAAGAGTGTTTGGACGAAGCCCTAACATCGCCTCTAGGCAATGCATGTATTGGGCTTTTCAATCCTGTGTTTTTGTCCACAAGTGTGTAACGAGGAGGCTGAGATGGTGGTGGTGGTACCTTTGTTTGTTTCGAGTCAAAAGCGTCATTCTGAGACGAAACGGGGTAAGACGTCATGGTTGTTTCTTAGCAGCGTTCTGAGCATGTCGTTTCTCTAGGACCCCTTCTCTCTTGAGGTCTCATTCCAAGTGGTGCAAAACATTTGATGGTTGTAGAAGGCTGCACGTATTTGTGCATGCGTTCATTCAGTGCCCGGCCTTTTTTGTTGTTTCAAACATTAATATGCGTTTGGTTGAAGGATTCATGTCATGGTTCGGATCATAATTCGTAATTCGTTACAGTATTTTTTTCATAAAAAATACACGAAAATCGAAAATAATTCTGAATCATGATTCTGAATTCATCAACTAAACATCTTCAATTAAAGGTGCTTTTGAAATTGATTTTAAAATGATTTTATTTTCAATAAAAAGTAAAAATGAGATTGTTTTAAGAATTATTTTGGGACTGATTCTGAAATTGTGTTTGGTTAGTTTTTTAAAAGATTATTTTGAGTATAATAAAAAAGTGAAATCATGTTCATTAATTAATATATTATAATATTGTTGATAAGTACTCAAAAATGAAAATAAAAAAGTGAAAACAACTTTCATATGTTTTCTAATTTCATCACAAAAGTCATTCTCACTGTTTTCGTTTTCAAAACATTTGCTAAACAAATGTCATTTCATTTTCATTCATTTTTTTACTTCTCAAAATACATGAAAAGCTTTTTAAAAAACGATTCCAAACACGCACTAAAGATTATCTCTCCGTTGGAAGCTTTGTCATTACTCTTTGTGGTTGCTTTTCTTTGTTTCTTTTTTGTTTGTTTTGGATTTGTAACAGCGGTGGTTTTTATCATGACTTGTTTATGTCTTTGTTTAATGTTTAGTTAGAACTGCAAGTTTGGATCGGGCTAAACGAGCAGGCCTGAGGCCTAATACTGTTGGCTCGGTCCCGGCCCAGCCCGACCCGCTTAAGTATTTACCGGGCCTAGGTTTCAAGCTCGAAAGATTTTTAGATTAAGGCTTTTTTGTAGTATTCTATAATAGTAGACATGTTTAGATCAAGACCTTTCATAATAGACATTTTATGTAATTACTTCAAGCCCGAAACCTTATTGGGGTTGGACATCTTTTTTAAATTTCTTTCTTAAAATACATTATAAATTTTAGCCCGATCCGACCCTAGGCCCGTCGGGCTTTAGGACCGGGCCGGCCCGGCTTGGTACAATGAAAATAATGGGTCGGATTGGTCCGAAATTCCCATTCAAGTTGTTAGGCCTGTGCCGGGCTGCCAAAACTTTCACCTCTATGTTTAGTTGTGTTTTTCATCTGTTAGATTTTTTTTTTTTTTTTTGCGCTATGGGATTCTCGATATTGAATATTCATAGCATTTTTTTTAGTTGTAGAGGATTTGATAAAGAGTCATGTGTATGCTCGAACTTAAATATACCTCTTTGGGTCTCCGTTTGTCGAACCGAGTACACATTATTTCCTTGAGTTTTTTTATTGAATTTACAGTAATAAGTTGTTTATTTGTCATTGCTGTATTTCCTGTAATAAGAGTCCCTATTTGTCATTGCTGTATTTCCTGTAATAAGAGTCTAGGGTATGAATTGATATTTGTATTACCTTTTGATGATAAGAAATAATCTCAGTTTTTGAAAAAAAAAAAAATCTCAATTTTAAATTATGTTTATGTTCCTAATAGTCACGTTAAATACAAATGTTATTTGGCTTTTCTTTTTTTTTTTTTCGGAAATAGAAAATAATGAAAAAAGAAAGGGAGAAGTTTGTACCTTGGAGCCTTCAATGGACCATTGGCCGGGTAGGTGCCGTATTGGCCTCCTTCGCGGTTGCTATTACATACAACAATAAAAATGCCTACCCACCCCAGAGATATTTCTTTTTATGATTTTAAAAACTAATCTAATTTTCAAGCAATTATTAACAAAGAAAGAAAGACAAAAGTGAGAAGCTAGGCTCTAGATCTGTCTCGATCAATCTGTTTCTTACATATCATGCAAACTATAATACAATCAACCTCAGATTATACATGCAACCCAAAGCTTCTCCTTCATCTCTTCACTTTTTTTTTTGTTTTTGTTTCCTTTTTCGAGGTGGTTAAGTAGTCGGTGACATTTTTTTTTCTTATTTGATATTTCTAATGAATTATAACACATTTGTAACTAAAATGAGTGACAAGTTGCCTTACATAGTTAATGAACCCACGATTCACGTGCAGCGACAAATATCAACGTCAACTACTAGCTAGCTCATCTAATATTTTGGCCATGAAAAAGAGGTGAAAAACTCTTTAATGATTTACAATTTAATGATTTTTATATTATATATCATTTGCAATTTGAATTGCTTATGCAATTTGGTGTGCACACTTTGTTTGCAATATTTTAACCCTTTTTTTTAACTATCATTTCGTGCTGATAAGGAAACTAAAACCCATGATGTAACATCATATTTCAAGAAAAATTAAGTTACGATACAACCAATTTTTTTAGGCGTCTGTAGCTCAAATCAAATGAATAAAAAAAATGTTAAATGCGTTAAATTTTTTCAATTAAAAGTGGATACATTTTTTTAATAGCTCTGATCGGTTTTTTTTCGTCATTTGGTAACTGAGATTTAGACTAATTTTATTTTCTTTAATTGTACCATATTTTTTAGAAGTGGTTTATGATAAGTGTGTTATGTTGCACTATTAGAAAGATAAGTTTTTTTAATCTTAAAATTGAGTGGTCTGATTTATCAATGTCCGCGCTAAAAATGGTGCATTGTACGCAAGAGTATTCTCATTCATATATTTAACTATTAAAACTCAATCAAATGACTAAAAAGAGGTGCGGATATAGACCAAATGAGCATCCCCTACTTAAAATCTTTTAAGTTTTCATGTTTAAATTTAAGAGAAATGAGATAAATACACTTTAAAGTGTATAAATTTAAATTTTATCATCTTTTCTTAATTAATATTTTTTAATCAAATAACTATATTAATAAAAAAATATTAATTTAAAAAGTAAAAATTTAAATCCATCATTACTTCAGTAATTTTCTACAATAATAATAATACCTTATGAATGTTATGGGTCAATTAACTTTTTGTTCCGTTTATTTTGAAAATTTTAATCTAATTTTGAATCATAATTTTTAATTTATTATAATATTTTTTTTTATAAAAAATTTAAATTTTAAAAATTATAATTATAAATTATAATTTTAAATTCATAATTAAACATCTATAATTCATGATTCACTATAATATTTTTTTTTATAAAAAATATATATAAATAAAAAATAATTCAAATTACAATTTGAATCCTCAAATTTTCGTTTTGTATCGAGCCACGTAGAGTTGGCATAGTTAAGAACGTCTATTTTTCAGTGTCGTCGGAAATCAAGTTCATGATTATTACTTGTACGATGACAACTATTGGAACAACAAGTGGAGCTTCTTGGTCACTGAATCAATGCATTAAAATCCTGACAGATTCATCTTATAATGAGCATCCACTAATAATATAAGGTCCTGTTTGGCAAGCTGGCTTGGATAGGACTATGAGGTTTGAATTGGGTTGGATATGGCTAAATCCTATCCTGTGTTTGGTAATTGGGGAATTAGACCAAAATTAAAATCCAAAAACTTCCTTCTCCACTTCTCTGCGATGACAAAGCACACCGGAAGGTAAATCGTGGGGGAGAGGTTGGCGACGATAGAGGGCTCGGAGGCTGCGATCGACAAGATCCTGGGTTGCGCGCAAGGCTAGGGGCGGTGGTCGACGAAGATCCGAGGTTGGGGTAGCAACGAAGGCCATGTTTTGCGACAAAAGTTCGGAGGTTGGGCGGCGGAGTCTCGTTGGGAGGGGGGATGAAGATCGAAGGCGAGATGGTGGGGTCGTAGGCGATGGAGATTCGGGGGAAGGCAGTAGGGTCATAGGCCTTGGAGATTTGGCGTGGTCTTGCGATTGGGCCGCTGGCGGGGGATTTCAAGGGGTGGGGGGCGTGCAATGGCGGCTACGAAGATCTCCACAGGTGGGAGTCGGTCGCAACAATGGCGGTGGGCGTGGGGTTAGGTTGGAGAAATGCTCTAATTCAACCCTTGGACAAATTTTCCCATGGTCTTTTCTAGGATTAATAATCCCATAGATTTTGGACTATTTTGTGGTCAACGAATAATTAACCCGGTCTACTTTGTCACCAAACAAGGGATTAAGATTATTTATCCTAATCTTGTCCAAATCCAGTGTACCAAATGAGGTGTAAGTATAGCTTTAGGGCCAGGATTTCTATAGGTATCTTTGCAATTACAAAAGAAAAGCAACAAAAAAATTCAAATGTCAACGCTAATGTTTGAATTTGGTAATGAAAAAAAAAACTATCTAATATCATTTTATTTTACACTTGCATAACGAGTATTTTAAATATTATATTTATAGTTATTAAACTTTGAAACTTTAAAACTAAAAAAAACAAAACAAACAAACTTCTAAAGTTTTAAATTTAAAAAATCTATAGTACCATATATACCCCACGGATAACACTCTATTTTTTAGTTAAATTTGTGTCAGATTCTGTCAATTATAAATACTTTTAATTTTAAAGTGATTTTAATTAAATGCAAGACTTAAAAGCTCCTTAAAATGTTGTAATTATTAATTAACATGATCAAACAAATGTCAAAATTCAACACCAAGTAGGACTTGTGTCAATTTAACGCATAAAATAACACTGAATCGGTGGTGATTTTTCTATCAAATATCAAAATTTGGCATTGAACATTAAATAAACATTGTATTGGAGATGTTTAAGTTTGTGGCCTGAAATTGACATCACATGGTCTTTTCCCCATTTTTAAAAAAATATATAAACCTGTTGTTTGTTTTGTATTTCTTTCTGGGGTATGGCCTTTGTCAGATACTGAGTAAATGCTCATGCAGATCGGTAACTATTTGTAAAATTCGAATTCTAAACTCGAGTTTTTAATTTAAGTTTAGATGTAATTTTATGTGAGAATTTTTTACTGTAATAAAAAAATTAGATGTGATTATTTTTTAAAGCTTTTTACTGTAACAAAATTTAAATTCTAAACTCGAATAGGCGAAATAAACGGGGCTAAGAAGATGGGCTGATTTTCCATCAAAAAACACAAACAAAATAAAAGATTGGCAAATTATTGTCCTTTTTTGCAGTCCAGTGTACATGGTGCTTTCTGACTCTTCTTTCCTGATGGTGCATTTTAAGGAAAGCTGGTTTCTGGAATTACCAGCTTAGCAAACAAAGTTGATTAATTTAGCAAATTAATTTACCAAGGAGCATTTATTCTTTTCAATCCCGTCCAAATAATTGAGCAGCAAGTACAACAAAAACACACACACACACAGAGTAAAACTGTGCCATCTTGTTTGCTTGGTTAAGAGGTAAAGAATTACTTATTCATCAATTTTTGGATTTTCAAATTTGGTAATCCAAATTCAAAAAAGAAAAATTGTAATTCCCATGATAAAATTCAAACTAATAAAGCGCAATATCTGGGAGTTATAGTAAGTTTTAAATACCTCGGATAGCTATATTTTCTCCTATTTTTGAGGCTTTTTCCCTTTTGAATCCCCCAAAACTCTGCAAAATTTACCATCTATTTTTCAAAGTGCATGCCTTTAATGCATTACAGACCAAAACTTTATTCCTTTTCGGTCCTAAAAAATCAGTCAAAAATATGATTTCCCAAGTTTCTCAAATCCATGATTTGATTTGATTTGCTTTTTTAATTATCTCCCACAAACTCAATGAGGCTCAAAATATCAATCCCGTTTCCACTCATCATCTTTACCGCATTCTTATCATCTCTACTCTTCACCCCACTAACCACCTCTCAGCCGCCGGCGATGTCGGCGCGTTCACTTGACGCGCTTCTCCAAGACTACGCCTTCAGAGCCGTACAAGTCCGTCCCAAAACCGGAGTCGTTTTCGACACCACGCTTCCCGAAAACCTCGCCGGCGTAAACGCCTCGGCGATGAGGCTCAGAAGCGGAAGCTTGAGGACCAGAGGCGTCAAGAGCTACAGAGAGTTTCAGATCCCAATCGGAGTCGTCGAACAGCCTTACTCAAAACGCATCGTTTTGGTCTACCACAACCTGGGGAATTTTTCTTCCCGATTTTACCCCTTGCCCGGTTTTACCTACTTGGCCCCAGTTCTGGGCCTCCTCGCCTACGACGCGACCAACTTGTCGGCGACGGGCTTGCCTGAGCTGGAAATCCGGGCCTCCGAAGAGCCCATTTCGGTCCGGTTTTCCGACGTGAAGTTTGAACAAAACGGCACGTCGTTTTCTCCCAAGTGCGTGTACTTCGATTTGTACGGTTCCGTGCAGTTTGACAATTTGTTGCGTGGGAATGTGTGCCCGATGGTCAAACAAGGGCATTTCTCTGTGGTGGTCGAGGCCACGGCTCCTTCTCCTGCTCCCGCCGCAGAGGAATATTCGGGTGCCGGCAAGGGAAGAGGAAAGTCCAACACGGGGAAAATAGTGGGGTCAACGATTGGAGCGTTGATTTTATTGGGTGTGATTTTTGTTGTCGTTTGGAAGATTAAAGAGCGTGAAGACTTGAAGAAGAAGAAGGAGAAAAAGAAGAAGCTAGAGCAAGAAACGGAGTGGGGAAATGAGAGAGATGAGGCCTTGCAAGTGACGTCGTTTGGGAACATAAAAGCGCCGTTCGCAATGATAACGAGGACGCAACCGGTTTTGGAGGATCGTTATGTGCCTTAGATTATTCGTTCGTCCATACAGATTTTTTCTTTAAATTACTTTATTTTGGAAGAGTTGTTTACGCCACAACAGAACAAAAAGATGGGAATGTCAAAATTCATTTTAGGCTGATCGACTTTAATTAGTGTTGTTAATGGTAGCATTTATATTGTTCGTCCTTGTACGACATTTATATTGTTCGTCCTTGTACGACATTTATATCCTCTCCTTAAGCGAACAATAAAACTTCGGCGGATCGAAGGAGGTTGATTTTTTGTGCCTCCGCTTATGAAAGAGCTCTCTTTCTTTACACTAATTTATTTTTTTGAGAGAATATAACAAATGATAGTAATCGTATTTCTCAGCATATAGTGTCTAGAAAAATAAAAAAATAAAAACATATCTCCCGATTTTCTTTAAAAGATCGTATTTTTCATCATCCGACCGTGAAATCAATCACAGAAACACCAAAGAATTTAGGAAGAAACAGATTGAGCTTGTGTCTGGTATGGGCACGCACCCCACTGAGGAAAAAAATAAAAAATTATAGAAAATAGGCTTATATTTAAAATTTAAGAAATTTACTAATGTAGTTTCATGTTTTCAATTTTTTATATTCCAATTTTACATTTTCTTGTTATTTTTTTATTTCCTTTGGTAAATTTAAGTATATTCAGAATTTACAAAGTTAGAATAGCTTGAAAAATAATATATCCAAATTTAATGGTAAATTTGAGATTTACCATTTTGTATAACTAAGGAAAAAGTGTAAAATCTAATGGTAAATCTCAAATTTATCAAGTTCGTATTAGTAGGAAAAAAGTGAAAAATCTAATGCTAAATTCCGGATTAAAATGCAAGGGTAAATAACGAATAAAAAACCGTTAATTTATAAGACATTAGAAGCTTGGCTTTAATCAAGATCTCGCTACGTTATTGTGTTGTATCTAATCTCTTGAAGCATGGTCACTGTTTTTTTATGAATAAATTTTATTTAATTTTTTTAGGGTTAGTTTCAATTTTAGTCTCTGAGAAATACTCGTGGTCTCATTTTACCCTATATTTTTAAGTGTCATATTAATAGTCTATGAGCTTTACAAACGTTAAACTTTTAGTCATTCCCTCACAATTGGTGAGAGAAATTCGATGCCTCATCTTGAAGATGCACCCCGAGACCACCAAACGCCGCCACTGCTAGCAACCAAAATAATGGTGACCAACGTGGTGGTATAAAAGGGATTGGGGAAAGCCAAAATACAAAATGAGGCAACCCTCGTCCTTGACCATCTAAATCACTAGGAAGTAGACAGAGAATTGCTAGGAGAAGAGCCCAAGAAAGAGAGGCCGCAACAAATAGACAAGCGTTCAATCAAGAAAGGGGACTTCCCCTAGAGCGCCACGCCGAGGCAACTAGGGTAATAGTACCCAGGCAGACTCGGAGTCGGTGTAGTGTGGAAGAGATCTATGGAACCAGCATAACACTCAAAGAGTAAAGGCTATTCAAGATGTCAACTCTACCATACTTGCAGCCAAGGCTAATGCCATTATGAAGCGAATGGCAAGCGTTGAAGAAAAAATATCAAATGGTAGAAGCAACGCCACCAGGTAGAGGCAAAGCATCCTGGTAGAGGCCACGATTATGAAGACATCTCCCAATAGAGGCAAAGCCTCCCAATAGAAGCAACAATTATGATGATGTCACCCGATAGAGGCAAAACCTCCCGGTAGATGCCACAATTATGAAGATGCCTCATGATAAAGGCAAAGCCTCCCGGTAGAGGCAAAGCCTCCTGGTAGACGCAAAGCCTCCTGGTAGAAGCAACAATTATGATGACGCCACCCTGTAGAGGCCACAATTATGAAGACGTCTTTCGCTAGAAGCAACAATTATGATGACGCCTCCTAGTAGAAGCAAAAATTATGATGACGCCTCCTAGTAGAGGCAACAATTATGAAGACGCCTCCCGGTAGAGACAAAGCCTCATGTAGAGGAAAAGCCAAAGAAGCAACAATTATGATAACGCCTCCTGGTAGAGACAACAATTCTGACAACGACTCCCGGTAGAGGCAAAGCCTTCTGATATAGGTCACAATTCTGATGATGCCTTTTGATAGTGGCAACTATTATGATGACACCTGTCGGTATAGGCAATGTTTCCGGTAGAGGTAATTATTATGATGGCGCCTTCCGGTAAAGGCAAAGCTTCTCGGTAGAGGCAACAATTTTGACGACGCCTGCCGATAAAGGGCGACTCTTAAGAAAAGCCCTTACCCAAGCTAAGGCTTAGCTATCAACATAGAGGGCAAGGGTCTATAGGTTCGAACTTCAAAGCCTCAAAGAGGTGAACCTTATGGCATTCTACAAAAGTACAACAAAATAAAGGGTCTACGCGTTCGACATTTTGAATACTTTAAAGAGGTGACCCTTGTTTCGACACAGGAATCTTAAAGAGGTGACCCTTGCTTCGACACTGGGAACCTTAAAGAGGTGACCTTTGCTTCAACACTCTAGGAGCCTTAAAGAGGTGACCCCTACTACGGTCCTTAAAGAAGTGACCCTTACTTCAACATTCAGGAAACTTTAAAGAGGCGACCCTTGCTTCAACATTTTGGGAACCTTAAAGATGAGACCATTACTTTAACATTCTGGGAACCTTAAAGAGGTGACCCTTCCTTCAACATTTTGGGAACCTTAAAGAGGGGACTCTTACTTCAACATTTTGAGAACCTTGAGGTGACCCTTGCTTTAGTATTTTGGGAACCTTAAAGTGGTAACCCTTGCTTCGACACTGGGAACCCTAAAGAGGTGACCCTTGCTTCGACACTCTGAGAACCTTACCTTGCTTCTACAAAAGTGCAACAAGTAAAGGATCTACATGTTCGACATTCCGGGAACCTTAAAGAGGTGACCATTGCTTTAACATTTTGGAAACCTTAAAGACTATGGACCTTTAAAGAGGCGACCTTTACTACAGCATTCTGAGAACCTTAAAGAGGTGACCTTACTTCGACATTGGAAACCTTAAAGAGGTGGCCCCTACTACGGTTCTTAAAGAGGTGAGTAACCCTTGCTTCAACATTTAAGGAACCTTAAAGAGGTGACCCTTACTATGAACCCTTAAAAGAGGCGTTCTTTACTACAACATTCTGGGAACTTTAAAGAGGTGACCCCTATTACGGACCCTTGAAGAGACGTTCTTTATTACAACATTCTTGGAATCTTAAAGAGGTGACCCCTACTACGGACTCATAAAGAGGCGACCATTACTACAATATTATGAGAATCTTAAAGGGGTGACCCTTACTGTGACACCTTAAAGAGGTGTTCCTTATTACAACATTCTGAGAACCTTAAAGAGGTGACCCCTACTATAGACCCTTAAAAAGGTGACCCTTACTACAACATTTTGGGAACCTTAAAGGGGTGACCTTTACTTTGACACTAGGAACCTTAAAAAGGTGACGCTTACTTCGACACTCTGGGAACCTTAAAGAGGTGTTGTGTTGACACTTTGGGAACCTTAAAGAGATAACCCTTGCTTCAACATTCTAGGAACCTTAAAGTGGTGACCCTTGCTTCAGTATTATGGGAACCTTAATGAGGTTACTTTTTAACGTTGATCCCTCTAGGAACGTGAGGTTACTACACTTAGCAAACTCCTTAGAATTTTTAAGTCAAAAATCCCAAGCGGTATTAAAAGGCCACCAAAGCCTCCAACGAATGAGAGGAAATAATGGCAAAACAGAGGGAAAATAAACGACGAAGCTTTCAACAATTAGAAAAAATTTAAAAGAAAAATAAAAAGAGCATACAGTCACAAGCAAAGAATAAAATGATTGAAGAAATTATGTGTGGATCTTCTTAAATTCCTCAAAATGTTGGAAGTCCTCAACGGTCTCAGCACTAATTTCCTTGCATCTATTTTCAAACTCCTCGAAGGCGAGGCAATCCTTGGCAGCTTCTTCAGCATCAACCTTCTTTCGCTCCACGAAGCCTTCAATCTGCTTCACCAAGGTACTTATCCCTGGACACCTCTATTTTCTTTTAGAGCTTCTTTTATTCCTCTTGAAGCTTCTCCACCTTCTTAGCCTCATAGGTCTGATCTTTCTTGGCGAGGTCTCTCTCCTCCATGACAGTCTTGGAAATGAGTTTCTCAGCATCTAGGATACCCTTTAAGCTCACCTCGATCTAGTCCCTCTCCTTACTCTGCTTCTCAACTTTGACCAATTCAATCATATTGAAAAGGGAGAGAATAAGGGCCTGCAAGCGGATGAGGCAATTATGGTTAGAAAAATCATAAGGAAAGGGTAAAGCTTCAGAAAGGATGAGGTTTACATTGACTTGGTGGAAGACTTATTTTCTCATGTGATCAATGAGTGGAGGTCTGGAGATCACAACCTAATCTTCATCAAATAAGTTCTCGTAAATAGCTTGAAAAGTAACGAAAAAACGTGGTGGAATGTCCAATGCAGCTTCTCTTTAGGTGTCGGGGACGTCGGAGATAAGATATAAAGGGTCTTTAAGAAGCATATTCAAAGAGAATCAAAGGATACATGAATGATTTCACGCCAAACACAACAAAGTTCAAGCATCTTTCTATGAAAACCGAAAATGAAAAGGCATGATCTAAAGGCCCACATCTTGCCATTTAAATGGCCAAGGAATGTTTAACACAACGACGTGATAAGTGACGTAATCGACAGGACTATTATACTTCTAAAAAAGAATCTTCAGTGACAGAGGCTTTATTGCTTAAGGATAGAATCCTTCACGAGTAAGTAAGCCTTAAGGAGGAGTCAAAGAAGAAATGAGATCATTTCTGGTCAAAGCTCGAAGCAATCCATAAGAATGCCTCAACCTTGGGGGGGGGGGTTTGTAGGGTAAAAATAGAGACCTATTAAGAAGGCCCAGTGTCATTAAGAAGCCCATTAAGAGCACAAGGCCTATTAAAAAGGCCCAATGTCATTAAGAAGCCCATTAAGAGCACAAGGACAACTCAGCCCTGGTGCCACGTCATCAACATTATGCAATAACAGCAGGAAGTCGACCCTTCAAGAAGCTTTAAGAATGTTCAAAGGGATGAGGCTTTAGGATATGCCTAGGGAGAAGAGGCTTCGTTCAATCCTTATAGAGTCGAGGTTTCTCAAGATCAAAAGAGTGTTTAAGGAGTCGAGACTTCGTAAGGCTCCAAGAAGTGTTCAAGGAAACGAGGCTTCAGGCTACACCTAGGGTGAAGAGGCTTTGCCCG